CGATATCTAAATCTCACGCATCATAATTAAAATTACTACTATTTCTTTTTTTCTTTTTTTTTGATACGCTGGGGAAATGCATTAAATTGCATACCACATGGTGGTTATGTAGGGCTCTCCTCCCCAGAAGGGGGAGGCCTACTCACTAAAATCCCAGCGATGGCCGCCATCAGGCATTGTACTGGGCCTCAGAATCGAGTATCGCATCTGAGCACCCGCAGCCTTTGCTCCCCTGCTTCCACCAGGGGAGCCCTTCTCGGGGGAGTGTTCACAACCTCCCCCATCCACTCTCTTAAGACGACACCCCCCGGCCATGCGAGGGTGTCGTGCCTGTGCATTCCATGCGTGGGTTCTGTGGAGCTCCCCCCGTCTCCCCACCGGTCGACATGCCGTGGCGCGTTATACATCACCGCGTACATGTTGATAATGGAAATTACCTACTTTACTAAGATACATATGCAATAGACCTTTCTCAACTATATAATTATTAATATTATGATCATACAGATCCATTACAAGTTCATAAGTATTTGTGTAACATGAACTAATAATAAATATAATTTGAGTTTTTACCCTACACCAGAGCCACCGAAACTTTAATTACAATCTAGCAAGAAAAAAAAGATTACAATAAAATGAGAGTAGTTATAGATTAGGATAGGTTTTAACTGTTCAAACAGTAAAAAAAAACAAACAAATGTATGTGTCACATTATTATTTTTTGAATTGAAAACAGCTACAAATCTGATAAAAATAACTGAAAAATAAAAAACTCTGTTACAAAATAACTAAAAAGTTGTAAAAAGATTTACTTTTCGAATAGGACGGAATGTTAGTACATGTTTTTAATACAGTCGGTGGATTTTTAAAGACATATTCTTATTACAAAACTTTCACCTGATCACGTTCACACATCGAAATCAGCTGAGCCGTTTAGAAGTTATGATGGAATATAGTGACATACATTCATTACACTCTTTTTTGACAGTCATGTAAAAATTGAGTCGAACTCGTACACTAACACAAATACACTACACTTGAATTTGGATTTCAATTAAGTGGTTATGGTGGTCAAATAAAAAAAACTCACGCAGAACATGTTTTCTGCACAGAGCTTCCATTTTTTAAGTAAATTGTTGTAGTGTTAGCAGCAAAAAAAACTTACTTTGAAAATTTCAATTGCATGTTGATTATTTACAGCCTTTTGACTGACAGATGTACGGACGAATCGACAGTTGAGAGTTAGTTATAAGAATCGTTGTCGCCATTTTGGTAGGTAACTTCAATGAGTTGCCTTAACAATAACTTGAAGCATTCCAAAAACAACGACTAACATCAATAAAAAGTCTAACAACTAGTAACACGTGTTTTCTACCAGATAATTAAGTAGGCAATGAATGAAGTATAAATAACTTAGTTATCAAGTCACGTTACCGTCATACTTGATTTGACTGTCGTCATACTAACAATATTACATGGCAAGAGCGGCCAATATTTTCATCGACCTAGAATTCGTATCGATAACTTATCGTAGTTATTGTAGGTACGCCGCTATTACGCAACTATTTACTACAATTTGATAACAGCGATGAAAACAATATTTCAATGCAATCAATTCTACCAATATTATAAAGGGAAATTTGTATGTTTGTTACTAAATCACACAAAAACTATTGTACGGATTTAGTTGAAATTTGGTATGCATATAGTTTATGACCTGGATTGAGACAGAGAATTTATTTTTCGGAAAAATGACAGGTTCCTATAGGATTTTGAAAAATTCTATAGCTTTCTCGGACGAAGTCGCTTGGGTATGCTAGTGGTTTATGTAATAAAACTTTTGTTTTTTATACAAGGTGCTTATTCGTAGTAGCAGATTTTTCAAGTTAAAGTAAGCTTATACATTTTCGGAATAGAGATGGAAAATATAATTGTGATTTTGTATAAAATATCTGATATAATCTAAATTCAAGTCGTTTACATTATTTATAGATAAGAAATGTGAAAATTATCTCAAACTTTAACCTTTCAAACTTTGAAGAACTATGCAGTGTCATTGTGATTCGCTATTATATTATAGTGACTGTTGTTATTGTGTTTCAGTCCTATAATCATAGTAAATTTGATTTAATTAATTGTCACTTCTAATAAGGACACTTCCGCTAGTGTGTATTTATGTAACTGGTGATGTCGTTAATTAATTCTCTTTGTAATTTTGATAAAACTTTTGATTCGTACTTAACGAATGAAACCAAGTAAGTACATAGTTATATGTAATGGACAGCTAAAACAAATCATTGAAAATCCGACCAGAATTAATGTTCTCTCACTACCACTCCACATTGTACGCATTGTACAGTATTTTTATTTTATTTATTTATAATCCGAAATTATTTTGGTCCTATACCAAAAATCTGCTAAATTCGTCGTCGTATCCAAGTTGGTGCTACAATCAGTGAGCTTTTTTCCAGATATTTCAATTCTAAAGTTTTGGACTACGAAATCCCCGATCTTAACACAAATATGGCTTTGCTGATCCTAAATTTGATACTAAAACGGTTCTTAAAATGATAAAATCTTCGAATGTAAATAAGTCTGCTGGACAGGATGGTATTCCTTCGATATTCTTAATAAGATATGCTGACGAATTATGTTGTCCAGTTTCAATTCTATTTAAAAGGTCTTTAAAGGAGGGTGACATGCCTGTTAAATGAAAGTCCGCTTTCATTACGCCCAATCATAAAAAAGGTGCTAAGGATTGTGTGAACTAGCCAAAATATTCGAATGAATAGTCTATGGCCAAGTCTATAACAGTTTGAAATCTAGTTTTAGTCCTCATCAGCACGGATTTTTGAAGAATCGTTCCATTATGTCAAACCTGGCTATATTTACCGAGTATCGGTTTGATCAAATGGCCTGCAAGTGGATACAGTATATACTGATTATGCGAAGGCCTTTGATTGAGTTGATCATAGAATGTTGTTATTGAAACTTCTTAGAGTAGGCATTAGGGGAGATCTCTTCAGAAGTGTTTTTAAATTAAAATTATCTTTTATTTGCGGACGACACGAACATTTTTAATGTTGTTAATAATATTGACGACGCGACTGAGCTTCAAGACGATCTCGAGAGCTTGGACTGATATTATCATCCTAACAAACTGGATATTAATGTGTCTAAATGTTTTTCTATAAGCTTAACTCTTAAACATCCTTACCGTTTTAATTGTCTTTGCGAAGCTAGGGATTTGGATTTCATCTTGGACTCTAAACTGTTATTCAAAAAATATACTCCTTATATAAGGCCTTATGCTCACTCGGTTATATCCTTAGTTAGACAAAACCCTTTCGACAGATGAAGACCGTCAAGATTCTCTATTGTGCTTATGTTCATAGCCACTTTGAGTATGCTAGTCAGATTTGGAATTCCTCTTATAAGACTTATATTAATTATATGAAAAATTCAATAGAAATTTACACGTCATCTAAACATTAAATTCAAAATTCCAAAAATGTCATAATCAGACCACTGCAATAAATTTCATTTACTACCACTTTTTGTTAGGCGCCGCAGTGCAGATATTACTTTCCTAGGACTGTACTGATCTGTTAGTAAAAATTGCTTTTAAAAAACCCTCAAGAGCACCTCGCAATAATATTTATAAGCTGTTTAGTATTCTTTGTGTTCGCAAGAACTATAGACAAAACAGTTTTCTCATTAGCACATGTTCGGCCCTCAAAAAAGCTGACATCAGCATAGATATCTTCTTTAATAGCATCAAAACTATAAACAATAGTTTGTTACAGCTGAATAATTAGTTATTAATTAACGTACTCATTGTAATAGTTGATATTTTCTCTCACTACATCATTTCATTTAAAACTGTTATTACTATACTGTTGATGTTTCTGTGTTATGGTTTAGTATTTTAATCAATACAGATTTCTTTAAGTGGTAGCTTGTCAATAGCTTTTAGTCATGTTTTTTGCTGTTATTTTTATGTTCAGAAGCTGTTAGCTGCCCTAAGGTAATAAATAAATGCATACAGTATTTTTAGTATATTAAAATACAAATAAGAAATTTTAAGAAAAAAGGTTAGAAAAGTATAAAGTTTATAGTTACATTCACTTAAGCGACATCTAGTTAGTAAAGTAAAGGCACTTTGCAACTTTCAATACAATGACATTAAGAAAATATAATATGTTATCAACATGTTTTAATTTTCTGACGCCAATTCCCATTTATAATGAGCTACGATTTTTTATTATGACAAAAATCTTTGATCGTCGATTCTGTAAAATTAATAAAGTGGCGTTTAAATGATTTTGCTTTTCCAAAGTAAAGTTATTGTTTTCAGAAGTGAAGGCGTGTTAGGTAATTTAACAGATTACATATTAGTAACTTGGCAATGTTATTACCATTGTGGCGGTGTTGCAGCTCTCTATCAGTCCCTAGACTATGGTAGCATAGTAAAAAATATATTGCAGTAGATTAAATATAATATTTATGTTACCTATACATGAGCAGAAAATTTATAATGATTTTTTATGGCAGGAATTATAATACAGCTAATTCTTAGAAAAAAAACTGCACGGTATAAGTTCGAATTTTCAGAATAATGTACTTTGTTATATTTAAAAATAATTTCGAGCCTCTGAGCATAAATACCACAAAAAATATTAAATAAATTATTCTTTCTTTCGTTTAAAAATAGGAAGACATTCAAATTGAAACAGAGTATCTAGAGAATCACAATTTGAATTCAATATGAAAAAAATATGTCTGTTAATTTACAAACATCAAAAACAGCGTAACTAATTTTGTCAATAAAGAATCTCATTGATTATTCTGTTGAAATCTAGTAACCTCTAGTGATTCACAAAGTATTTGTTTAAGTGTCATTTGCGGGAAAACGATTGAGCTAAAACAGCTGTGCGGGTTCATTGACCTTGTTATTTATAGAAATAACATGCGGGAGATGACATACTGTTCTATTTTGTATAGCGTTCTGCGAGCATGCTGGCTGCGTACACGCTACATTATTTTATTTTAGTACATTCCGTGATTCAGGGCAAGCCACACGTGCGTCCTTTATACAACTGGCCACGGCCGCTGAATGAGCAGCAATAATGAACTGTAACACGTGGTGATAAGCATTTTAGACTATTGATAACGCTTACAAATTTTCTGTTACTCCAGAATGTACTGACATTATTCTCAGTGGAAAAAAATGTTCTTTTTTTAAAAAATGGCATTAAATACTGTTTGGTAGTTTAAAAAAAGTATTGTGTTTTTTTTGTTGTGATTCAATTCGTTTTAACATGAATAAAGAAAACGGCCAGTACGAAAAAGGTCAAGACGATGGAGAAGTATTTTTTGAGGATGCATTCGAATCAGCTGGTGAGTCTAAAAATGAACTTACTACTTTTGAATAATAATAATTTACGGGCATTATAGAAAGGCGAGCCCAAGCAAGAGATAAGCTTATCGAAGCTTTGACACAAAATGGGGACGATGACACTGAAAGAAAAATTAAGCTATACTAAATACTATGAACATATTTTACTATAAAAAAAAACAATCGGTCCAGGCAATAGACATTTATTTATTTAATAATCACTTACATCTATCATTACAGGTATAACCTAATACAATAGAGCAGTTACGATACAACCAATTATTATACAAAACTAAAAATAAAAAAAAAACACAAACACGAAAATAAAATAAACATTTTTATGATAGTATACATATAATAAGCGGCCCGTGTGAATTCATTCAATGTGCATTGAAACAAGTCAATGTGCAGAGACAGCGTGTTGAGTGCGCGCAGAGCGCATATCATTGATCCAGCAGTTAAATCAAATATAAAGTAAATATCTTATATACGCTAAAGCGTATTTTTATTAAAATACAGTACCTTTAGTACGAGTTTACAATTACGAAGACTATGATAGTTTTCGTGAGCTCGCACTCCTACTAATTGTGCTGATTTTATTGTTTTCGTTTCAATACAAATAAACAGTGTTTAAATTCTATCATTAAATCGTTTGTGTCTTCTTAAATTTTAAGAATATTTGGATACTTTCCACCAAAATGGACATAGAAGCATAATTTACAATTACGAAAACTATGATAGTTTTCGTGAGCTCAAACTAGTACTAATTGTCCGGATTTTATTGTTTTCGTTTCCATACAAATAAACAGTGTTTAAATTCTATCATTAAATCGTTTGTGTCTTCTTAAATTTTAAGAATATTTGGATACTTTCCACCAAAATGGACATAGAAGCATAATTTACAATTACGAAAACTATGATAGTTTTCGTGAGCTCAAAGTAGTACTAATTGTCCGGATTTTATTGTTTTCGTTTCCATACAAATAAACAGTGTTTAAATTCTATCATTAAATCGTTTGTGTCTTCTTAAATTTTAAGAATATTTGGATACTTTCCACCAAAATGGACATAGAAGCATAATTTACAATTACGAAAACTATGATAGTTTTCGTGAGCTCAAACTCGTACTAATTGTACTGATTTTATTGTTTTCGTTTCAATACAAATAAACAGTGTTTAAATTCTATAATTAAATCATTTGCCTCTTCTTAAATATTAAGAATATTTGGATACTTTTCACCAAAATGGACATAGAAGCATAATTTACAATTACGAAAACTATGATAGTTTTCGTGAGCTCAAACTCGTACTAAGCGTACAGGTAGTTTATCCGCTACAAAAATCTGACGGATGAAATTTATTATCTTTCATCATTCAGCTGTCAGAAATTCTTAATCATGCGCGCTGTTGATCTGATTATGAAAAAATAATTACCCCCTTATCTTACCACATCATTTTATGAATAACGGAATCCGTTTATTAAGGATAAGCTTTATTAATATTACTAGAGGTCGCCCGCGACTTCGTCTGCGTTAACTTAGTTTCTTGAAAATCCCTCTGGAACCTAACATTTTTTCGGGATAAAAGTAGCCTATGTGTTAATCTAGGGTGTTAGCTAACTCCATACCAAATTTTATTAAAATCGCTCCAGCCGTTTAGACGTGAAGAAGTAACAAACATACACACTCACATACTCACAAACTTTCGCCTTTATAATATTAGTGTGATAATATTACTGAAGAGTCATTAACATTGGTTTAAGAGAACAGGCTATTTGTTTACTGTATATTTAGGCTAAACTGTACTTCCAGGGCCCAAGTGGTGATACTTCAAAGTGATACTTAAAAGAGACCTTTTCTACAAAAAAGTTCGAGTATGACCTCTTGGAGGAGCTCGTTGGCGCAAGTGGTTAACGCGTTCGGCTGCGATCGTTGAAGTGAAGCAACTTTCGCAGTGGTCGGTCATTGGATGGGTGACCAAAAATTTACTATCTCGAGCTCCTCCGGCTGCATCTGCGTCCCGGCTGGATCTGCAGTCGTTAGCACCCGCCAATCCGCACTGGGCCCGCGTGGTGGGTCATGGCCCAATCTCCCTATTCCATCCATAGGGAAGGCCTGTGCCCCAGCAGTGGGGACATAATAGGCTGATGATGATGATGATGACCTCTTGGGCCCTGGAAGTACAGTTTTACCCTTTTATTAGTATACTTTTAGTAACTTCATGAGTTATCTCATATTGAAGTCATTTTTCAATTTTGACGACTCTGCATATAGGTAATACAGGGAGGAAAAAAATAGCCCATGCTGAGTTTCTTGCCGGTTCTTCTCAGTACAAGGTCTCCCGCCATAGATTTGCGAACCGATGGCGTAACTTTTCAACATTCACAAGTGCTTGTAACAGCTTAGACTGAATAAACGATGTATTCTATCCGTTACCCTAGCATCCGATAACACAAGCCTTACAGTGCTTACTTTGGGGCTAGGCTAATTGGTGTGAGCGTTGGAAGTATTTATTTATTTATTATTTTTACAATAATTATGACTAATTTACTTAAAAATAAACGTAAACAAATAACACTCTTTTTATTAGTAATAATATATGAGTGATACTATAACGGATAGAATACATATACTGTACATATATAAGTATATCTATATAGAAAATACATATTAAACATCCATGACTGGAGTACAAATGCTCGTATTCATCACATAAACATCTGCCCCCACCGGGATTTGAACCCAGGACCTCTCGAGTCGGCGACACCATGAAACCCGGCGTACAAACCACTCGGCCACGGAGGTCGTCAAAAATTATTACTATAATATTTTGTTGTTATCACAAATATGTGTTCGACCTCTTAACACGTGTAGAAACATTTGCTATTGTGGATAACAGAGAATTATCTTCGCTCAATACGAAAACGAGTTCAATGTATTTAGTATCGTGACTTAACCAATTTCGTTTATTGTTTTGGTATGAACTTACTTGTATGTACAGTTAGAGCAGTAGCTTAGTCAACCTTAGATATTTGGCTCAATAGGTATTAAGTTGGTATTAAGTACTAACATGGAACTATCATTGAATGATTGTTAAAGTAAGCCTATGCTTATATTTTTATTTTTAAAGCATTTAACTGCTAGGTGGTTAAATGAAATGAAAAGTCATTTATTCAGTCTAGGATGTTACAAGCACTTGTGAAGGTCAAGAAGCTACGCCATCGGTTCGCAAATCTACGGCGGGAGACCTTGTACTGAGAAGAACCGGCAAGAAACTCAGCAAGGGCTGCTTTTTTCTCCCTGTATTGATAAATACAGAGTCGTCAAGTTGAAAAAGGATTTCAGAAGTCACCTTTCATTACATCATTTACGATAAAGTTACAATAAATTTTATTTGAAGCGGCATTAGAGGTACCATATTACTGTTACATAAACGGACTAATAAATAAATAAATATTTCCAACACTCACACCAATTAGCCTAGCCCCAAACTTAGCACTGTAAAGGCTTGTGTTATGGGATACTAGGGTAACGGATAGAATACATATATTGTACATATATAAGTATATTTATATGAATTACATATTAAACATCCATGACTGGAGTACAAATGCGCGTATTCATCACACAAACATCTGCCCCCACCGGGATTCGAACCCGGGACCTCTCGAGTCGGCGACGCCATGAAACCCGGCGTATAAACCACTCGGCCACGGAGGTCGCCAAATAATACCCATCAAATAACAAATTACAAGAACCACTATGTCCATGCATTACGATCATTTAGATAATCATCAACTTTATAATAGCCCTTATTCATAAGAGTCTTTAAATCATGGCCCTTTGATATCCGGGCGAATGCACTAACCATTATGATACCCGGTTAGTGCATTCGCCCGGGTAGCGTAGGGCGCGGATTCTAGTCCCGTCTGCTGCCTTGCCCGCGTGGTTTTATTTTCTGGTAAAATTGTGCTTGTTTTATTTTCCCGAAATGTGCTTTGTCAGAGGTCCGTATATATACAGTGCGATCAAGATCTTCAACAGCGTTTTTCATAATATAAATTAATATAATTTTTAAATGGTACTTTAGCTAATTACACTCACCTTGTATTCAATTCAAAAATTAAAACGATTGCGTATGGGTAGAAATTACAATTAACAATAATACAAAAGAAATACCAACAAAGATTCAAATTAATTTTGCGATAAATATAAATACCTATAATAATCTAAATTATCAATTGAGCATGATAACTCCTCGACCTCCGTGGCCGATTGGTTTGTACGCCGGGTTTCATGGTGACGCCGACTCGAGAGGTCCCGGGTTCGAATCCCGGTGAGAGCAGAGTGGTGATGAATACGAGCATTTGTATTCCAGTCATGTTTAAAATGTATTTCTATATAATTATGCTTACATATGTATTCTAGCCGTTACCCTAGTATCCCATAACACTAGCCTTACAGTGCTTACTTTGGCCTAGGCTAATTGGTGTGAAAAAAAAGAACTAAATTTGTGTGAATGAGTGTGTAAGTGTGTGTTAGGTATTAGTTGTAATTAAAATTAAAAGACAGGTCTCTGCAAACTTGAGCTCATCTCTCAATTAAAAAGATAATTAAAAGAATATTCTACTCCGCCCACATCGACAGTTAACTACTGATAGTAAGAGTAAAACAATAAAGTTTATTTTATTACTAGTGACCCGCCCTCGCTTCGCTTCGGTATTTTATCCCCTTGGGGGTAGAATTGATCAAAATTCTTTCTTAGCGGATGCCTACGTCATAACATCTACCTGCATGCCAAATTTCAGCCCGATCCGTCCAGTGGTTTGGGCTGTGCGTTGATAGATCACTATGTCAGTCAGTCACCTTTGAGTTTTATATAATTATAGATTACTAGCAAACAAGTGAACCAAATGTTCACCAAAAAAAAAAAATTGATTTATAACTTCGGAGATTTTGTGTGGTTTCGTTTGAAATAGAAATCTCGTGATTTCTCGAAAACC